TGTGGTGTTTACCACAGACCAGCGTCTATGTGGTGAGTCCAGTCCAGAGGCTGCTGGTCATTCAGGGTGTGGAGGAGGCGAGATGGGGGGCATGTTGAGGGCTAATATCAGTCCAAATAATTAGATGTGCTATCGTGGGCGGCAGCAGTGCGGGATCAGGAAGATTAAAGCGGGGCTGCTTAATATTCATGAGGTCCAGAGCGGAGCTCAGACTACCTCGCAGGCTGATGGGGCTTAAGGCAGCACTCAGCCCAGAGACCAACGACACAACCTCATGCTATAGTCAGACCACAGGCAAACTAATGTTATTTTAAAGTTACAAATGTAAAATAATTTACAGTAATAATCACACTATCTTTTTAATAATCATGTATGTCTTTTAAATAAAGTAAACACCTCCTCATCATTAGGGAAATCAAGTAAAGTCTCCTATGAACTGTTTTGACATCATTACCTGCATATTTGGTATAGACATTAGGAAAAGTTTGAGTCATATTTAAAATAAAACAGACCTAAAATATGATTTAACGTAGAAACTATTATATCAGATTGTTGCCTTCAGGGCAGTGTTGGCATAACGCAGAAACATTTAATTAAACAAGCGCCGAAATGAGTTCTGTGCACTTGTTGTGGAACAGTTTCACATAGTTTTGTAAATTAACCAATCAATTAATTTGATTAACTCAATGAATCATTTTAGACCTAAAGCGGACTCATTTTACATATTTATTAGTATCAGTATGTTTTCACAGAGTGTAAAGTTTAGAAACTGCCCAAACTTTAAATAGATAGGGAAGTGCTCATTGACAAAATGTTGCTCCGACTTGCTATGGCTCCAATTGACTTAAATCTAAATGAAACAGTTGCGTCACACTCTCCATTTTGGGCTTTAAAAATATGTTTAATGTATATTTAAGGTATATTTTTGACTGTATAAACAATACCATAAAATACGTATTTTTCAAATTCAACATATTTATTACAGTCCCTCCCCTTTCCATGATCAACACCAAGAACATTTTCTGGAGGAGAAGAGTTGGGAGAAGAATTATTTACTTATTCCATCCAGCGCAGTGGTTCACAGCAAGGTCCTGGGTTCAATTCCAACTCCAGACAACCTATCTGTTTGGAGTTTGCGTGTTTTCCCTGTGCCTGCGTAGGTTTCCTCCGGGTGCTCCGGTTTCCCCTACCACTAAAAACGTGTACAAAAGGTCTGGCAAGCCCCTCCATCCTTGTGTGTGGTGTGATATGAAAAAAGACCACAACAATTGTAAAGTGTGTTGTGACTGGCTGTGAAAGACACTATTTAAATAACTTGCAGTGGAGGTGAGAATGGGCGGGTCTAACCAGTGCTTGCTTTGAAAATCAATCTCTCTCTTCACACTTTAAAAAGTAACTGACATTCACTTCAAAATTAACTTACTGACAAACAATATATATTACTGTAGATATTGAATCATAGTCAATATCGTAATTATGGTAACGTCAATGGTAAGAGTTGTGCCTGAGAGTCCTTGCTGTGGCCCATACTCGGTGTCATGGCTGGTCCTGGTCCGCACATCCCGGGCCCAGCGCTGGTCCTGGCCTGTTGGAGTGGAGGCGATTGGCCGTAGACCAAGGGCAGCGGTGAAAGAGGGTCTGATAGCACTGGCTGTCCTCGTGGGTGTTCTTAACTGCACGGCACATCTCTGGCATCTGCGTCCTCCTCTGGCCCGCTTAATTACACACTGTCACAGGTGAGAGCCGGACCACACTATCTGCTTACAAAACAGCCACATTGTATGAGGAGCAGGCCGTGTTAAACTATGCATTTAAATACATGTAATATTTAGTTTTCAGCGGTTGGGTAGTTTTTATTTCAGTGTATTATCGTCCTAAAACAAAATATACTGTGCATATGAATGTATACATCTTTTAAATGTGCAAATTAAAATCCAGCTTCCTGCAAAGTTGTAGTTATCAGATTTATGTATTTATTTTACATATTATTAGGGCTGTAATTAATCACAAACAATCCATTTAAAAAATAGTTGTCAACTAATGTAACATGACATACATGCTGATAAGTATTATGTCTAAGATGGCTCTAGAATGACTGCAGAATGAAATGAAAATGTTCTTGGGCTTGTTCACACTAAAGGGCACAAAAGTGTGACAAAAGGCCAAAATTTAGATTTTAATAATCAGAAGATATTTTATGTTTTTCATGTTTCCAAGCACCTCCTCTGTCCATTAGAAGTTGCTAGAACATAACTGTTTTATACATTAGACAAGTTTCCTGTAGCAGCCCTGTTTATTTTATGTAACGGACGTGATGAATTGACGGAATGAGCTTTGTGGAAGTTTGATAGGTATTTTCAGATGTCCACATTTGATTCAGAGATTCTATTTTTTTACACAAAGTAGATGCAGAGTGATACTTTCATATTGTCAACCAATTAAATGTGAAAACAGACCAGATTTTTTTTTTCTCAAGTTTAATTTTTAGAGAAAAGAGGACCGTCCTCATCACGTCCGTTATACATTTTTCAGGGGTCATTTAATTAATTAATTTTTTTTTTTTTTTTTTACGATTCCTTTTTATATCAAGTGATTTCCTTCTGTTGTGTTAACCATGTAAATCTTGTGGGATTTCATCTTCTGCTTTTTCAGACTGAGGACATTTTATTTTCTATGTAACTGGCGTCACAGTAGAATGGTCCAATCAGAGGCTGATTTGGTCGTTTAAAATGTTGCTAAACATTTTTATGTCAATCTTTCCTTTTGATTTTTTCCACACTATCTCTTCAATCTGTCTGTGTTTGAAATCTTTTTTCCAATCTATGAAAGTAATTTTAGTTTTTAAGTTATAACCTTTTAAAGTCCAGATACTTCAATTGTCACTTTACTGTGAACACTCTCTCTTACAAAGTATTTTTAATCAAACAACCCAATATCTGACAAGTGATCTCCATGAACATGTTCTTCTACCTGGAGCTTTGTTTTGGTCCAATGTACACACAAATCCCATACTAACCTTTTGGGATCTCAACTAAACTAATCAATTAATAATAATAATAATGAATTGGTTTTATTAGGGATTGTATAGGCTTCACAAGGCCTTAATTATTTATTCCATACAAAGTGGTGATAAGCTACTACTGCCACTAGCCACAGATGCCCTGGGGCAGACTAACAGAGGCAAGGCAACAAGTATGTGCCGTCGGTCCCTCTGACCACCACCAACCATTCCCCCACTTCTGGATAGTGTCTTGCTCAAGGACACAACAGTTTGGCACTTAACAGCCACAGACGCCCCACTGTGGCACCTGGTTTTCCCAGAGGTCTCCCATCACAGTACTAACCAGGCCCTTCCTGTTTAGCTTCAGAGTTCAGGTGGGATCTGGCTTTCACATGCAGACAGGCCAAAATAACAGAAAAAACACACGTTCAAAAGTTTTGAGAAAATTAGGTTGGGTTATTTAGGTTATTTTTTGCCACAATTTAATAACAAAAGAATATGTTTTTGAATGGTGGGAAAAACTTCTCCAATTGTGCATGACATTTGAATGAAATTTAAGTTGAAACCCATTAAAAGATCTTAAAACTAAGATTTAATTTGCACCACACACACAGTGTATTATTATTATTTCCCAAGTGGAAGTTGATGTGCCTCCCTCTTGTGCTCGCCTCCAGTGCTGTGCGAGTTTCCTCCGGCTGCACTATCATGGCAAATTCCAGAGCTGCTGCAGCCTTGATGAATTAGTCTGAAACAAATTAGCGGTACTTACAGCTCAGACGGCTCCAGCATCAAGTTACAAATTAAAACAAAAGCAGCAATATCTCGACATCAGCGCAAGTTCCCCGTGAAATCCAATCCAGTCAGGCTCAATCTCTGCACCAGCACACTCTCTCAGTCCTCTCTTCTCACCGCCTTCAAGCCAAACACGCTGTCTCCTTGGCAGGTGTTTCAAGTCCATATCTGAGGAATGAACGACAGCGTACGCGTATCACTCTTGCTATTGTTCGCTCACTTCGCTCACAAGGGGAGCTGGCATCAGGGAATATCTTGGATTTCAGCATTTGAGCAGGAAAAGAAATGTCCTACAGTATACTGGTTTAACGTGTTGAATCCATTGGTATCGAAGTCACTGGCTGTAAAACTGTCCTTCTTGTGCTGTGGTGATGCTGCCCCCTAGTGGAAATTCTCCAGCGTTGGCCCTTCACTGTGTTCATTCTAAGTATTTTCACATGTACATAAAGTCATTCCAGTCCACTCTTTGTCAGTTACTCACCATGTTTGTTCCTTCTCCATCAGTAATAGAATACAAATCCAATCTTCAGTAGATCCTTGAGTGCTCTTGATGTACATTTAGCATTTTCTTATGTAAGCGTTTTAATTATATGTCATCCCAGTGGTCAGCGATTGTGTTTCCGGAGTCTCTATCAAACTCCGTGGATGCGTCTCATACCTTCACAGATGGAGCCAGGCCTTTGTGCCGTATCCGAGCGCATCTCATTATGGTCGTGGGTGAATAGCGCTCATCAGATCTTCCCTCTCTTCATGCATTGCTTTCATCCTTTCTTTCTGCTTTTTTCTCGTCATAATTGTTTGGCCCATGCTTCCCTCATTTTCTCATTTCCTTTCTGGGCTCTGATCACCCTCTCCTCTCTGTCGGTCCCTTTATACCCGGGCTGACCACTGCACAAACGCTGGCCAGCAGTGTTTGCGATCTACATCAATTAATACATGCTTCTCTGTGATTATCTTCTTGTCAGCAAGCATCGCAATGTAGATTGTTTGATGTGACAATAGTTCTCTCCGTTTCATTAATGGACTGTGCTGGCAAAATAAAAAGCATGACCAGAATCACTCGCAGAGGAGGGAATTAATATCCATATCTGGAAAGGACATGATGCGATTCATCACTCAACACCATCATATCAACTTTTAAACACAACATGTGCAGCCCCAGTTCTCTTCTTCCGATTAACCCAACTTTTTGTGTGTTTGTGTCCAGGGCACCACAGTGACTATGAGTTGTGAGGATGAAAATTGTTGGATCACCAGACTTCCTTTAACGGCAGATGCCCGATCTGCCAACTGCACCGTTTACAGCGACGGTAAGATTCTGTTTTCCTTTTCTTTTTCTGTAATTATGTTGACATTAGTCATTACCTTTGTTCTGTGTAGGTGCGGAGTTGTTCTGTAAGTTGACAAGAGACCTCGAGGCCGGAGAGAGTCTTCTGGCTGTGCTCTCTGGACGCCCCAGCTCCCCCACAGACCCCCAGGAGCAGCTGTCTCCTCCTCTGAGCCTGGTCACTCTCAAACAGCAGGCCCTGCTGAAGGAGGAGGGTGTTTACCCTGCTGCCCTTCACTCAGAGATCCAGCTGCTGCCTCAGCAGGCAGGCATGGCAGCCATCTTAGCCACTGCTGTTGTCAATAGTGAGTTTACAGTTTTATTTTTGATGCAGAAAACATTGCATCTGTGACAGAAAATTACTGGAAAATATGTATATTTATATTGTAATTATTATGTTGACCACATGAGGGCACTGAAGGGTTTCAAATGAAAACATTCCACCTGCCCTCAGTTTAAACACGCTGGCTTTATGCGGCACTTAATGCTTTGTTTGTGTTTGCTTATTTTCATATCTTCCTCAAATAAACCCAGATTTTGTGGAAATCATGTTAATCATGGAAAGGCCTTGAATGTCCTCAAAAATACACAATAATGTTAGAGCTGCATAGTAATCTTTTTATGAGCATCTTTAGTATAGTATGTAATGTTAGTGTTTTCTTTCCCCCAGAGGACATCTTTCCTTGTAAAGATTGTGGAATCTGGTATCGTAGTGAGCGGAACCTTCAGGCACACCTGATGTACTACTGCGCGAGCCGTCAGAAACAGCCCGCTGCTGCGTCCTCCCCTCCACAGGACAAACCAAAGGATCCCTACCCCAACGAACGCATCTGCCCTTTCCCACAGTGCAACAAGAGCTGCCCCAGCGCCAGCTCTCTAGAGATCCATATGCGCACACACAGCGGTGAGAACTCAAAACAATGTTCATATTGTTTCAGCGTTTGGTCTAGTATTTTGTTTGTGGGAGTGTTACTTAGAAATTAAAGATTTTGATAACGTTAAAAGTTTTCTTTGTCAATAGTCGTATAAATCCATTGTGAGCAACACAATACATTATACTCCTTTATGCTTAACCTTTCCTGTGTCTTCCTCAGGAGAACGTCCATTTGTTTGTCTCATCTGTCTATCGGCATTCACCACAAAAGCAAACTGTGAGCGACACCTCAAGGTCCACACTGACACTGTCAATGGTGTGTGCCTGGGCTGCGGCTTCGTCTCCACCACGAGAGATATTCTGTACAGCCACCTGGTAACCAGCCACATGGTGTGCCAGCCAGGCTCCCACAGTGAGGTCTACTCCCCGGGACCAGGCCTGCCTAAATTACCTTTATCCATTGGTAAGTAGTACATTTTGTGTTCATTAGACTGTATGTTATCTGTCATGGTGTTTATAGAAATGCCTTGTTCTTCCAGGTTTAAGTCCTGGAGACTCAGGAGTGGTGTTGAAATGCCAGGTGTGTGGACATAACTCGGACTCCCCTTCTCAGCTCCAGCAACATGTTCGTACTCATCTGGAAGTGCGGGTTCCTGCCGAGAGAAGCCACACACCACGCCAGAGTACTCCATCTTCAGACCATGCACAACCTGAAGACTCCCCAAATGAGAAGGAGCCAGTGGCCTGCGTCCCAAAACCAGAGTCTTCCAGTCCTGGAACCAACGGGAGTGCTGCCACATCCCCAGTTCCTGAAGCAACCTCAAGCCTTCAAATCAAAGAGGAGCCTCAGTCGGACACAGAGGACCAGCATATGGAGGTCACTGAAGACGGAGAGGAGGCGTCAGACACAGCACCAATGAAGGAATCCAGGAGAGAATCAATGCAACGACGATTATCAAACTCCTCAAATTCTCCTAAAAGTCCAACCCCCACTGTGAAAGCAGAACCCACCAGCCCGACTCCGGGTTCAAGCCCTGCACACGTTGGAGGAGCTGCGTCCGTTCTTCCTGGCGGAGCCTTGTTTCTGCCCCAGTACATGTTCAACCCTGAGGCAGCCATTTTACCCCAGGCCTCAGAGATTCTGGCCAAAATGTCAGAGATGGTCCACAGTCGAATCAAACAAGGCCAGACACTGCCTCCAAACAGTCCCACCGCATTTTTCCCTGCTGGGCCTACAGCTCCCACTGCATCTGCCACCCCTCCTCTTAAAGGGGCGACCTGCTTTGAGTGTGACATCACCTTCAACAACATCAATAACTATTATGTACATAAGAGACTGTACTGCTCTGGTCGACACCAAACAGAGCCCAGCACAGCTCCCACGATTGTGCCTGCTGCAGGAGCATCCACTTCTCCACAAGGGGGTGCTACAAGCAGAGCAGCCTCAGCCTCTCCCACTCACTCTGACCCTCCTGCAGCCAGTGGAGCAGAGTGCAGAGGAAGAGTGGAGGTGAAAGTTGAGACTCCAATTGTACGAGAGGAAGTGAGCTCCTCTCCTGAGGCAGAGGGGGGCGCTGTGGGTGCAGGAGGTGGCAGAGCCAGTGAAGACAGCCAGAGCCCTGCCAGTGGATCTGCAGAAGACCCTGAGGATGATCCCAACCGGACCTTCTGTGTGGCCTGCAACATTCGCTTCAGTCGTCATGAGAATTACACTGTTCATAAGCGCTTCTACTGTGCATCCCGCCATGACCCCTCCAACCACCGCTCTGGGCACATGGCCAGAGTCAACGCCTTCATGCCTCAACCCATCCGCACTCGCAAGAGGAAGAAGATGTATGAGATCCACATGGCCCGCACCCAGGCCCTCGCTGCTGCTGCGGCTGCTGCTACTGCTGCCTCTTCTGCTGCGGCTTCAGCTCCTTCGCCCTCAGTCCTGGGACTTCCACTGCAGCATGAGGTGTCTCCTAATGGGAGAGAGGCCTCCAGTCCAGAGGGAGACGGCCCTATGGACCTTAGCAAAAGGCCTCGTCGGACTGACGCGAGCCGACAGAGCAACAGCCTTGTTCCTGCTCTTCCCCTCTCAGACTATCACAAGTGCACTGCTTGCAGCATTAGCTTCAACAGTATCGAGAACTATCTGGCTCATAAGACCTACTACTGCCCTGCGACCTCCATCCAGGCCCAGACACTGGAGCAGCTCCACAGACTCAAAAGATCAGCCTCTACCTCTCCAAAGAGCAGGTCAGACCTTCCCCACCCAGGAGAAGCCAAGGTTTCCCCTTTAGAGAAAGCCGGCGTTACCTCACCCAGTGCTTACCCCGCTGCCATTTCACCCGCTGATGCCGCCTCCAAAGGGTCAGGGGCCTCTTCCCCACTGGTCTGTCCATACTGTCCCAACAGACCGGTCACTGGTAATCTTATGGAGCACTTCCGAAGTGTCCATGGGCTCGTAGTGAAAGTCAAGTCCCCTAGAGATATGAGCCCCTGCAGCAGTCCCATGGATGAGGCTCGCACCACGCCCTCTGAGCCGTCAGGGGGGCCCTCGCTCACACCGTTCCACAGAGACCGCGTCAATGGACAGACAACAGGCGGAACAGCTTCCCCACAGTTAAATGGAGGCCCTTCTGCTGAGGGCTCACGTTCATCTGGTTCTCCGCAGCCTCTGTCTCCTCCCAGAGCATCTTCTCTTACAGTGTCCCCCCTCCCGGAGATAAAGAAGGAGTCCCACACAGCAGACGAGGCCTTTTGTCCTGTGCCTCCTCCCAAAACCCAGGTGATCTCTCCAGTCCAGAACGGAAACACTCGCTTCTGTCGTTTGTGCAACATCAAGTTCAGCAGCCTGTCTACTTTCATAGCTCACAAGAAGTACTACTGCTCTTCTCACAGTGCAGAACATGTCAAATGAGCGAGTGAGAGAAAAGCATTTCTCCAGGACAGATCCTGCATTTGTCTCAGTTGCAGCGTGCCAGCACTTCACAAGTGTCTACATGATTTAGGCGTGGAGTCAAGAGTGACATTTTTGACTGTTACTCTAATGGACAGCGCAGATGTCGAACTGCAGCGAGACAGTCCGTGTTACTCTGAACAGAAACTGCTTCAGCTCCTCCTATGGGTCAAAGTTTGTCATAAACTAGGAGCTGATAGATGCTACCTGCACAGCTGTGCTCCCGTCCCTTAGATCACGGTCTTTACTCTGGTCTCCTAAACCCTTTACATTTACACCAAGCGGTACAGTGCTGGTATGTCTTATGCAGTATTCAGTCTCAAAGATCATGAATAACTGAAGGTTCATTCTTAAGATAAAGTTTACATGAATAGAAATTGCAAAACAGATTGTATTTTAATTCATGAGAATGTGACGCACTGCCTTACGCGGCCATCTCCAGCGGCCGAGCTGCAGTAACCATGCATTCTGCACTGTGTACCATTTGGTGTAAACTCTGGCTTTAATGACCTCTCATGGACCACATTCTGTTGCATTATGGGACGTTAAAAATAACTCTTCGTTTAACTGCTGTTTGCCAGGTAACACATGTGCTATTGAGATGTCGGCCGAGTGAGAGTGAGAGCAGTTGTTGTGATGATCAGGGGTCACTGGACAAAAGGGAGGAATCAGTTTGTTGCGTGGATAAGACTTGATTATTGTGGATGATTTTAATATATGTGCATAGTGTATCATGTCCAAGAAAATATTTCTATTAAGATTTTGGTTTCAACACTGGCTCTTTCCGCTCACTGAAAAGTGTTTTAGGTGAAAACAAAGACGAGAATATCACAATGTTACTAATTTTTGAAGGATAATGCTTTCCTGTCATTTAAACACAATTCTTTAAAACTAGGGAGAAAAATGTGAAGTATTTATCTTCTAGTTCTCACTGCTTTCATGTCAACAGAAACTACCTACCGAGCGTCTGAGAGTATCTGAGTTGTATATTTTTCATACTGTTGAAGGAACTGTTGTAGGTGTTGAAGTGTATTTTATAAATGTAGATATGTAATATCTTCTCACGGTAATCACTGGGATCACACTGAACACGAGCACATTCATGTGCTTTTATTTTATCCTCTTTATTTGATTAGATCTTCAGCCTCCCACACTTCTCTCACTGAGAACCTTGGACTCCTCCAAATCTGTTGCTTTGACATCAGCGTATCATGTTGCAAACTGTTTTCTTCATGTGCCAATTAGAAAGATTCAAATTTATGAATGTTATATTTTCCTGGCTGCAAAAAGGACGACATACAGTATTTAGAGTTTAAAGACTGTAGTCACTGTAAGTCCTGACATTATCACACAGTATCGTCTGTTACATAACCACACATCATATTGAATTATAAGTTATCCTTTTTTAATTCTAGAGTCATCAAGGAATTCACTAAAACAGGATTGGGTCTAATTCCAGGTGCGTTGTGCCACCTGTGGTTTAGGACTAGCTCAGTCTGAAACTTCACTGTGTGACTCTGAGCTCTTTAGTTTTAATATGTTCACAGCGGCTTAAACACAATTTGTGAAATATCACAGACTTCAGGATCTGGCGATCATAGCGCTGGACTTCAGTGTACGGTGACTTGGCGGAGAGTCTGACCATCTGGTCTGGCCTTCAGATACAGTAGGATGCATTTAAATACTGTGTGTTATCTGATGTGCCACTGGGAACATGTCTTCTGTCCCGCTGTTGTCGAAGGGTTTAGTAAAGCGTCATCGCCCTTGTGGGATTAGTCTCCTGTGTAATCATTGGTTTGCTTTTCTAAATGCATCTCTTCCGCCTGTCTCGTGCAGGAGGGGAGCAGTGTATCCTGCAGTAATATACTTTTAATGGTGAGGTCTGTCTCACTTAATCTAATTGCAACAAACCTATTGTTTTGTTGTAGATGGCCGGAGACGCTCTGTGAAGTCTTTTTATTTCCACAATTTCTAATTTCCTGCTCACTCCACACAATGCACTAGGCAGGTACACACTCTGTGATTACAGCGAGCATTGATATATTCCACAAGCAATATCCTTCTAACCTCCACAATAACGTGTCACACTTATGCAGCCTGGAGTTTACTGTAATCGCTTTAAAAGCACCTCCTGTTGTCTGCCTCATATTCACCCAGAGAAATGCTTTGTCTGATTGATACGGCGGAAAATGTTCTATTGTTTCTTGTCAAGGTGGCATGATTTGAAAAGATGCTACTTTTATGCATTTTCTGAAACTTGCTTGCTATTTGAGAGGAGACCAATGGTCATGTGGGAAAATATCAACAACTATGTACGCTGGTGGAGGAGAAGCAACACATTGAAGGACCCTGTGCTGTAAACCTTCTTTCATTGCACTCTTATGTTGTTCAATTGTTTTTATATTTATGTTCTACAGCACTTTGCCCCTGATTAAAACTCACCCTTGATTTTTGTTGAAGGACTCTGGAAACAGCTCTGACCCTGCTGTAATGGTTTTAAATACAGTGTATTTTTCTTTCTTAACAATTCCTCTTGATGTAAGAAAAATCAAATGTCAGAACTTTAATTTGCTTTTGTTTTTGTAATAACAATTCAGTTTCACTACACTCTTGTCCAAACTATGCATGGCAAATAAAAGAGAGAGACACTGATCAAATAGTGTGTGTGTTTGTGTGTGTGTGTTTCATAGAAGTCGCGGCAGATCCTGAGGTTCAGAGCTTGAAGTTTCAGCAGTGACTCATGTTTTGTGCCGCTGCAATAGATCCCCACACAATAACACAACGTCCTAATGTGTGCAAAACTCAACAATACCAACAATGCAAATGTATTTGTATCGCACAGTTCATACACACGGCAAAGCGCTTTACACAATAAGAACATAAACATTCAAATCTAAATAATCACAGCACATAAAAAGAGTGAAGATACAATCCTTCAGTTGTATGAGCAGCTCAACACAACAGATTTTTACCTGAGTTTGAACAAGAAGCCTGTCTCACACTTTCAGAAAGACGGTTCCAAATTTTAGCTGCATAAATCTTTATTTTATCAGAAGTTGACCTCAGGAGGAGTGGCCTGCTTTTCTCAAGATATTTCAACCCCCTATGTGAAACTAATGTACGACATAATCTTTACAAGCAAAGTGATTATTGAAATGTTGATAATTGACACACAGCTTGTAAAAACTCCAAATAAAACAGAATATTTTAATACTTTAATTTTTGCGTTCAATGATTCTTTATCATATTGGTTTCACATTTTAAGCGAAATTAAGGACATAATAAATGCCCACAATCATAAAGTGCTTTGTGACTCTGGTTTGTGAAAGGCACTTTAATAACAAAGATCACTTACTTAATATTAAATAATACAATATTCAAAGTCTCACCTGTTCATATTACATCAAAACAGGCAGGGTTTTTCTTTTTTTGGGGGGTCCCTGGAAAACAGCATCATTTCCTTAAAAAGGACAATTAAAACAGACTGACAAAACCTTTCAAAATACAGTTCGAATGAGTGAGTGTTGGTATGGATTTTCCCCATTATCTGATGTCCATGTCCCCCCTCCATGGGGGCTGGCTTGCTCCTGGCTGACCCCCCTGACCAATCCAGTGGAACCTGGGAGTAACCTCACAGCAGTATATAGAGAGCTGGGATGGACTGGTTTGGGCTCTTGGTCGGTGTCAACTCTCTATGCAACATGTAGCAGCCTGATGCTGAGGCCCAGAGCCTCCGGGGTTCTCTCTCTCTCTCCAACCATCTCTCCTTGGGGTATGATATTTTCTGTAATGTCTGTATGTATTTTGTTATAGTTCAGTGTCATTAAATGTCCTCTTTTATATTTGGTTTGGGCCTAGTATGTACGGCAACGATTACATTTTCTTGATAACAGTCAGTGAGTGTGAATGGGGGATGAGGGAGGGTGAGGTGGTACACTAGTTATGTACAGTAAGTGTATCTTGTATTTGTATGTTAAACTGATTCTTTTTCTGACAGTTGAAAATAACAAATATAAAAAACATCAAATCAGAAGCAAAATGACATACTCTTGACCAGAAAAGTACAATAACTACACACCTGCAAACTAGCTCTCAAACTGCAATGGAAACCGCCTCGAAGCCACTGACATGCCACGACTCACACTTTTACCACGAGCGATTGGCCAAGAAGGCTTTCATTACCCAGGCGTGCGACCTTGAATGAGTCATCATCCTTTTCCACTAAAGTTCTAATACGTGAGAAGTAAAAAGCTTTCTCTGCACATTCAGAGCTCCAAGGCTGCTCTAATCAAAGGCAAGTGCACCCTCCACGCGGCAACAGGCTCCCATCCTCTCCGCACGCTTCAACTCCTATTCACCAGTCATTTAAAATAACCTTGATTTCTCATGATGCTATAAAATATGTGGCTCTGGTAGTGACATATCGCACCCTCCCTCCATTATCTGCGGCTGTATCTGCGGCTGTATCTGCGGCTGTAGCCCCTTTGAGAGCGGACTATGCTCAAATGTCCATAATACATAATTTTAAACAAGTCCACACTCTCAGGTCTTGGCTTTATTTATCTTTCTCTACAGCCATACATTTATATAAGATCTGTGTTTATGATGCTTTTATCGACCTGCACAACAAACAAGATAAGAGATGCTTTATTTGTAGTATAGTGGGGAAATTTCAATGTTGCCACGCACATACAGGACAGTAGTAAAAGCACACAGGGCACACACAAACTTAATACAATATGAACACCTGCTGTGTTCTTTTTGACAGAAAATGACATGTTCAGGCTCAGCAGTTCTCATTGTACAGTCTGACTGCAGTAGGAAGGAAAGACCAACAAAAACAACATGAAAATAATACTATATGAGTATTTATGTGTACGACATGTTTTATCACACGTCAAATCTCAAAGAGCTCGAGCAGGGGTGTCAAACTCATTTTGGTCTAAGTTTAAAACATGCTT